TAAAATTGTGGTATTATTTTCATGGGAAAAATATCCGTTACTCTTTCGTTCTAATTGTATTTTGATTTAACAGGGAATACGTTGGTTCCTAATGAGGTTATGCAAGAAAATATACCTTCCATATTAAGAAAATAAGTACCATTCATTCTCATTTATAGTGGTGCCTATAAATCTGGGCTGTCACAGAGGAACACATTTATTTGACACCGGAAGTAAATTATAAAGTATACCAATTAAGAAACAAATAGTTTTCAGTTTCAGTTAAAAGATGTATAAATTTATGTTTGCAGACAATACATAAAGCGAATTTAAAAATAAAGTTAATTTTGTAAATTATCAGCAACAACATTTTTGTACAACGTTGTGGAAGGAACTGGAAAGAAGACATTTAAAAATGAATACGATCCCAGAAATAAAATATTCACGCAGTTAACGATTAGAAATACACGTGGAAAAAGTTAAATTCGTATTTTGTAAGGCTTATGATGGTCATAGTGCTGTGAAATGAAATGATGACGAGAATACAATAACAACTTACAATTAATTTCAAAATCAAACCGTTAAGTTTCTTATATAATCGCTGGTTTCTAAACACGAGCAAGTTACCACTTTCAATGAAACCTTATTGTCATAATCTAAACTAATGGAGAAACAATTTCATTTAATGAAGGAATTATGGAAAATGTATTACACATTGAAACCAAAATATCGTTCTATACTCGTATGTCTGGCACCAAACTCTAATGAAAAATACATATATTTAAATTAGAATTAATGAAGAATATGATGCGTTGATGTTTGTGTATAAAAATATAGGTCAGTGAGAGAGAAAAATATTTGTTACCTCATGGTAGATTCCTTTGTCGTTTGTCACACACAACTGAACAGCATTTGTTGTTAGGTATCGACGTGTGGCACAGTCAGCGTCAGGTTGTACACCCCTTCTCAGGACGTACTACGACGAAACTGTTCTCTTGGTATAAGCTAATAGGAGCCTTTGTGTCCGATTCAGACTTTCAACAACGTATAGATGTGTACACAGCACATAGCCATGCTTCTGCACCGCTCCTTGGCGGTATGAACAGATACTAAGCTTGCAGATTCGCGAGAGGAACCTGCAACACCAGCTGTTTTGTGCCCGGCACGCATGCGCACACACTGACCGCGCTCTAACCTTCAATAATATTAAAAAGTGAATATTTCGGCTTCGATGTTAACTAAAAAAACGGTTGCAGTAAACGACCCCTTGGGTTTTGTAACTGTCATCACTAACACGTGTTTTGTCAAACATTTGTACTCATAAAATGAAATGGTGTGCTGTATTGAAGTGACCGATTTCCCAGTGTTTTGGTCACTCGCCTCAGGGACCCCACAGCAAAATTCATCTAACGCTTCTCCTGTTCTTCATCCTATCATCTGATAATTGGATCAACACTTTATTCGTACCCGTCTTTCTCCGACGTTGTATTACGTGAAAGAAATCGCAGTTCTGTGACTGTGTTCTGAACAGCTGCTGCTCACAGCAATCTTAACGTACAGCTAAGTTGTATCAGTTAACAAGAATTGTTGTGTCCTGAGTATGTGTTACAGTATAATAATCACAGACCTCAAGGATAGTCAAAGGCGAGTGAGTGATGAGCTTCACCCCCCCCCCCTATCCCCATGATCTATTTAATATTATCATCTTAGTTACAACTGTGTCCCAAATGTTTTCTTTCCTTCAGTGGATTGAGTTCAGTAATATTTCTCAATTCTTTTATGCATGCTACATGTCACGTGTATCTTATAATTCTTAAATTTCCTGATTAGATACGGTTAGGAATAAAAGTCATTAAATGAGCGTATTGTTGACTGCCAATTCAAACGACCATCTTAATCATTACCGCTATCTTTATCACGATTATTTATGTGTGTCGCTTTAGTTCGACCACCCAGTCTTTCTTTTTAAGGTCAAGGACAGAGAACACGTTTAGCGGAACGATAACGCGTGTGTATAGTGTCAGGGAAGTACTTGGTTCGAATTGCTGAGTTTTGTTCACTTCACCGAGAACTGTTCAAGTGCACTTATTCAAACAGGCCACAACCGCTTCTTTAAAATTCATTGCTATTCTCGGTTCTTAATGGCGCTAAATAACTGAAGAAATCGCTAATTTATAAATAACCTGTCAGTCATTAACAAATATGATAAACGTTTTGAGAATCCTAGAGAAAATATGAAAACTCGCTGTATTCGTCTACCTATTTTCCTTATTAAACGCCTTTGATAGCGGCAACTTCTCCGACACCTCAGCAACGCGTGTAGTGTAAACAAATTTCTGCAGGGGTTCATATTAGTTTTATTCACCCGTAATACAGAGTGCTGGTTACAATAAAGTATAAAGGCTGTCTGACCCATTTTCATTCTTTTCAATGGAGTTTTTTTAAATAAAAACTCAAGGTGACCTGTATAAATTTCCATGGTTTTCGTTTCCTGTGTGTATATGCAAACTATTTTCTTCGAAAAATGATTCATCACAGATTGGAAGGACTGATTGCAGTTTTCATAAAGTCTAAAACATGGGTCTGGAAATATTTCGCCACTATCTTCCTAGATCCTTCTTCATGCCAGTAAGTGGACCAGAGTGTGCGCAGCTCACCAGACGTTCTGACAGTAGTTTTAGCTACTAAATTCCAGATCCTGAACCAAGTTTTTGTGATTATATGGTGATTCTATGTACAAACTCCTGAGATAAAATGTTGTTTGAACATTCCGGGTGAAATTGCTTTTAGATTATCGACTCACACGCTAGAGCTACTGGATTAATTTGGTGTTATGAGCAAGTTCCACGTTTTAGTATCACAGAGTTTACCTTTGACCTACTTTCTTATCAAACGAAAGCAGGCTCGTGATTTTACGGTTGCATAGGTTAGACTTGCGAAGATCACGAAAAATAAGTCAGGGCCGGCGATCTTCGTATCAAGATTCGAAAACGAAACCACTCGAACTCCCAAATCTCGACACGCTTTAATTGTTCTGTCGTCAGTAACACTAACACGGTGGCAATGGGAATTTATCGAGTGAGAGCCATTCTATATTAATCCGATATAGGTACTGACATTTTGTTTTATTACTTTTAAGCCTATTTACGTTTTATTTAATGATGATATAGTAGCTGAGACTATAGGCCTATAGGCCCAAATAATGAATTTGAA